TCGACTTCTGGAGGCAAGTTGTTCCACTGATTAATTGTCCTCGCTGTCTGGAAATTTCTCCTTAATTTTGGGTTGCTTCTCTCCTTGATTAGTTTCCATCCATTGCTTCTTGTCCTGCCTCCATGTGCTTTGGAGAATAGGTTGACCCCTTCTTCTTTGTGGCAACCCCCGAGATATTGGAAGACTTCTATCATGTCACCCCTTGTCCTTCTTTTCATTAAACTAGACATACCCAATTCCTGCAACCGTTCTTTATATGTTTTAGCCTCCAATCATCCCCTAATCATCTTTGTTGCTCTTCTCTGCACTCTTTCTAGAGTCGCAACATCTTTTTTATATCGTGGCGACCAAAATCGGATGCAACATTCCAAGTGTCGTCTTACCAAGGCATTATCAAGTGGTATAAAGATCACTTTACAAAAGGGGTCAGCAACCTGTCGCTCTGGAGCCAAATGCGGCTCTTTGGGCCCTCTGCTGAGGCTCCCTGTCAGGTGATCCCACCACTGGCTGGCCCCGCTCCTTGCTTTCCCCTCCCAGTCACTCCTCACCTGGCCTGAGAAGGTAAGAGCGACGGCGGGAGATGGAGAAGCGGCTAGGGCAGAGACAGAGAGAGTGGGAGAGAGAGAGAGAGAGACATAGAGAGATACAGAGAGAGGGGGAGAGAGGAAGGGAGGGGAGAGGAGAAATATGTCAAAAGGATTTTGTGGTTCCCGGTGTTTTTTAACAACTAGTTCTCTGCCCTAATGACCGGCTGGGTAGGCATAGCTAGGGGGGGTGTCATGTGACTGGTGGAAGTGTCATCGAGTTGGCCACGCCCACCCAGGTTTTGTGGCTCCCGGTGTTTTCTTTTCTGTGGGAAACAGGTCCAAATGGCTCTTTGAGCATTTAAGGTTGGAGATCACTGCTTTACAAGATCTTGATTCTATCTCTCTGTTAATGCATTAACGCTCAAAAACAAACAAGATATGCTTGAATTCCTAGTAGAGCAAAGCAACCATAATTTTAGTAAAGTTAAGTACAGTAGACTAGAAGCATTTGAAATGTGGATTTACAGGCGGCTGTTACGTATATGTTGGGTTGAGAAAATCAGAAATGAGGTGGTGATAAGCCACCTGGAAAAGCCAAGGGAAATCATCAAAACCATAAAAAAAAGCAAAAGTTAGAATATTTTGGGCATGTGATGCGACACCCAGAAAAATATGGCATACTTCACTTAATCCTCCAAAGCAAGGGTCTGCAACCTTAAATATTCAAAAGAGCCATTTGGACCCGTTTCCCACAGAAAAGAAAACACGGGAGCCACAAAATATAAATATACAAAAGGATGAAGGCTATTGCTTAACGCATTGTAAGCCGCCCTGAGTCTCCGGAGAAGGGCGGCATATAAATTAAAGCAAAAAAAAAAAACAAAAAAAAACAGTGGGTGTGGCCAACTCGATGACACTCACTTCCACCAGTCACATGACACCCCCCTAGCTATGCCTACCCAGCCGGTCATTAGGGCAGAGAACTAGTTGTTAAAAAACACCGGGAACCATAAAATCCTTTTTGACATATCTCTCTCCCCTCCCTTCCTCTCTCCCCCCACTCTCTCCCCCTCTCTCTGTCTCTGCCCTGGCCGCTTCTCCATCCCCCGCCGTTACCCTTACCTTCTCAGGTCAGGCGAGGAGTGACTGGGAGGGGAGGGGAGGCGAGGGGCAGGGCCAGCCAGTGGTGGAATCACCAGACAGGGAGCCTCAGCAGAGGGCCCAAAGAGCCGCATGCAGCTCCGGAGCTGCAGGTTGCTGACCCCTGCTCCAAAGGAAAGATTAAAGACAAAACGAGGTCCAAGCAGAAGAATATCATGGCTTCAAAATCTAAGTTGGCCAAAACTCAAAAGCTCTTTTTCATTCAGCTGTCGATTAAAATAGGATCGCCAGTGTCCAATGACAGATATGGCACAAGGAGGAGCAGAAGAAGTATAGTAGAAATATGTAGGAATGATTTGCCCTGATTTAAGAATATAATTTGTTCAAAAGGATTAGAAGCAAAAGAATGAAGTTGCACTCAATGCTAAAAATTTCCACCCTGTCTCAGAAATCTGGGTTGAAAGTAAGTGTATCATAAATGTTAATAAAGACAAATGGGAAGCTTTTTATTGGAGAACAGAGATCAAATAAACAAATATAAGATAGCTGGATATCTTATTAAGTATTTTAAAACTATAGTAAATTACAGACTGTAATTGATTACAAATTATTGCAAATTGTAGTTGCAAATTGAGCTGGCAGCTGTCATAAAATGCAAATCAACTTTAGGCTGCATAAACCGAAGCATGCTTGACCAAATTATGGAAAAGGAATAATAATTCTGGCTATCGTGCTTTAAGAATCATGCTCACTTGAACAGGTTTCTCAAAAGAACAACAATCAGGATACTAAAAATAAGATTTCTTTACAGAGCCAGAAAGATAGCGAAGTTGAGGAGAGACAACCAAATGGGAATATAATAGCCCTCGCTAAAAACCCTAAAAAGATGTTACACAGAGAAGGTCAAGATTTGTTCTCTTTCGTTCCAGTAATGGATTAGGAAGACGGATGCTGTCTGAACATTAAAAAAAAGACTTTTTAGCAGTAAAAGATGCTTGAGGGTGGAACCAATTACTCAGAAAAATGGGTTCCTTTCATTGGATGTGCTTCCAATGATGTACTTCAGTCAGCCATCTTTTGGGGCTCTTGAATTTGGATTCCTGATGGAAGCAGGAAAGGGGTGTCTCTGAGTAATGTTTTCAGTAACTACCGTGTTTCCCCAAAAATAAGTTGTTGTGGTCCGCCAGCAGCCTGCGGAGGTGACAGTGATGAGGCTGAGGAAGAACAGGGGCCAGTCCTGGAGGCTGGGGAAGGCCCGGATGAGGGCTCTGCATCGGAGGCAGAGATGGGGTCAGGGCCATCGGGGAGTGATGTGCGGACTCCAGAGCCTCCAGAGGCTGACAGCAGAGAGGCAGAGGAACAGGAGGAGCCTGTTCCTAGTGCACGCATGAGAAGAGCTGCCAGAAGGCAAGAGCAGCTACAGCAAAAAGGATGACTCGGGAGTAAGGCCCAGAGATGATTGGCCCCTCCCATAAGGCTTAAAAGACCAGCAACGGCTCTTGGGCTCTTTGTCGGAAAACAACCATTGACAGACTTGTTCTTGTCTTGCTGGACTTATCTCTGGTCGGCGTCTTCTGCTTCTGAATTTTTGCCAAGAGAAGCCTTTGGCAGTTTGCCTAATTATACCAAGGTTGGTGATTAGACTGAAGGGTTTGTGTTATGAAGAGTTTGTTTTGATTTAGTTTGGACTACGCGGAGAATGAGTTCATTCTCAGCTGTTCTAATAAAGTCTGTTTGTTTTGGAACTGTTTGCGTCAACTACTACCTACTTGGGCCTGGGTCACAACACCTGTCTTATATTTTTTTAAAACCCCAAAATAAAAGTGTGGCCTTATTTTTGGGGAGGTCTTATTATTTTGGGGCACGTGGAGCAAGATGGGGCTCCTCTTGCCATCTTACCTGATTTCCAGCTCTGCGTTTAAATATTTTCAGGGAGGGCTTATTTTCGGGGGGGGAGGCTTATTTTAGCGCATGTGCTCAAAAGCCCGATTGGGCTTATTATTAGGGGGTGTCTTATTTTCGGGAAACAGGGTAGGAGTTGCTTTGATTCGGGCTTCTAGTTCTTTGAAACAACAAACAACATTCTCCATAAGGAACGTGGAGTTGGATGTTAACAGGATCAAACCGGCTGAAGTCCAGCTTGTTTTCCCCTTCGTTTTCTCCCTGTCCATGTATCTCTTCCAGGATGTGTCTATAAATGAAACTTTACAACTTCCAGGTGTTGTAAACTCAGAGCCAGGGTTTGAAAAATAACAGATTTCTAGTGGATTTCTTGTGTCTTCTGTCTGCACATGTCAACCCTCAGGTGTCAAGAAACACAATTTTTCATATTAGCCTCTTTTCGTTTACGCCAATAAAGGACTGAAGCCAGAGAAAAAGAAAGGAAATTGAACAATTTGCAAGGGAAACATGATTTTTATTTGTAATAAATCTCAAATACACCACCGGTGGGTGTCAATAGTCCAAAATATACCCTGTTTCCCTGAAAATAAGCTCCCCCCCGAAAATATTTAAACTCATGCGCAGCTGTTCCCTGCCATTTCCTCTGGTTTCCTCCACGCGCCCCAAAATAATAAGACCTCCCCGAAAATAAGGCCAAGTGCTTATTTCGAGGTTCAAAAAAATATAAGACAGGGCCTTATTTTCGGGGAAACACGGTATAACAAGGCCATACCACAAATGTGGCGAAACCTATTGGTACAGGTAGTCCTTGATTTACGATAGTTCATTTAGTGACCATTCAAAGTTACAACAGCACTGAAAAATGTGACTTACGGCCGTTTTTTTTACAGTTACAACCTTTGCAGCATCCCCATGATCGCGGGATCAAAATTCAGATGTTTGGCAACTGGTCTCATATTTATGACCGTCGCTGTGTCCCAAGGTCAGGCGATCCCCTTTTGCGACCTTCTGACGAGCGAAGGTCAATGGGGAAGCCAGATTCACTTAACAGCCGGGTTACTAACTTATCAGCTGCAGGGATTCACTTAACAACTGTGGCAAGGAAGGTCGTAACATGGGACAAAATTCACTTAACAAATGTCTCACTTAACAACAGAAACTTTGGGCTCAATTGCGGTCATACGTGGTTAAGTCGTAAATTGTTTTTCCTAAAATTCCCCTTTTGGGGAAGATGTCTTTTGGATAGATAAAGCAAAATTAGAACTTTTTGGTTATGTCACAGCCACTCTAGGGTCACAGAAGAAGAAAAAAATGAAGCTTTTTGGAAAAGAACTTCAACTCTACAGTTAAAGATGCAAAAAAACCCCACAATATTATGGAGTTGCTTTGTGGCCTCCGGCACCAAGTGCCTTCTATCTGTGCAAAGCACAATGAAATTAGAAGATTATCAAGGCAGCTTCCGTCCCAGACTTATGGGTACTCCTGTTGTGGCCTTTCGGCCGCCAGCCCTTCCAGCAGCCAAATCGGATGAGGAGGAGGTGTGGGAGTAAGGGTCAGCAGCAAGGGAACCTGAGAGCTCTGAGGGGGAAGAGGGAATGGACCTGGCAGAGAGAAAGAGGCAGAGCCTGGAACGTCTGTCAGCCCTCAGATGGAGAGTCAACAGCCCCCACGTCTGGAGGTGGTTGATGAAGAGGAGGAGGAACAGCTGGGTCCAGTGCCTGACGCGCGGATGCAAAGAAGGCAGAGGAGAGGAGAGCAGTGGAAATCTATGGGCCAGTCCTTGGGAAGGAAGAGCCATCGCTGCTAGCGAAGCCCCACTCTAGCTCTGGGAATAAAAGGCAGGGGGCGGAGATGAGTAGATGTGGCAGACAATTATTCATCTTCATGCCGGACAGATTTGTTAGGCTGCGGTGAGAGAGAAACTTTTTGCCGGGGCTGCTGGCGCTCCTAATAAAGGAATCTTTTGAGTTCATGTCAGAGGGTTTGTTGTGTTTGGAGAGCTGGGTCAGAACAGCTCCATTGATGGAGGTTTTGAAGAAGAGATTAGTCCGGAAAGGTAGGGTCTCCTGCTTGAGCAGGGGCTTGGACTAGAAGACCTCCAAGGTCCCTTCCAATTCTGTTATTCTGTATTCTGGAGCCAAACATAGTGCCCAGACTTAGGAACCCTTTCTGGGAATCATTGAGGTTTATCTGTGCCCTCAGGGACACCTTGAATCAGAACGCAAACGTTGGTGGAACCTTCTTGGAACTTCTGAAAAGGCTTCGTTGTAGACAGGAGATAAGTGGTGTTGTATCTTTCCCCTTCTGTTATTTATTATTATTTATTTATTTATTCAACTTATATATCGCCCTTCTCCCCAGGGGACTCAGGGCGGTGGACAGCCAAACTTAAAACACATATAGTACAAAAGTTAAGAAAAAACTAAAATAAATTAAATCATCGGCATTTCCAATTTAAAATCCCAGATCTGCAAAATCGAAAAGTTCCCAATTTAAAACCCAGAATCAATAAAATCGAAAATTTAAAAACCCCATTAAAACCATTTAAACTAGGCCAGCTTGTTGGAATAAATAAGTCTTCAGGGCCTTTCGGAAACCGCGGAGGTCCGGGATCAGTCGTAATCCAGGAGGTAGCTCATTCCACAGGTTGGGTGCCCCTACAGAGAAGGCTCTCCCCCTGGGGGCCGCCAGCCGACATTGCTTGGCCGACGGCAGCCTGAGGAAGCCCTCTCTGTGCGAGCATACTGGCCGGTGGGAGGTTATCAGTAGCAGCAGGCGGTCTCGCAGGTATCCCGGCCCTATGCCATGGAGCGCTTTAAAGGTGAAAACCAACACCTTGAAGCGCACCCGGAAGACCACTGGGAGCCAGTGCAGCTCGCGCAGGAGAGGTGTTACGTGGGAGTGCCCTGTGGCTCCCATAATCACCCGCGCGGCTGCATTCTGGACCAGTTGGAGCCTCCAGGTGTAATTTGAGAGAGAGCTGTTCAATTCTAACATAGATGGCCTCTTTGATCCCTCCGTAGTCCTCTCGGTCCAGAATGTGGACTTTGCTGTCTTCAAAAGAGTGACTTCTGTCTTTCAAATACAGATGGATTGTTGGCATTTTGTCCCGATGGTACCTTTGGGACAACCACGACCTGGATGAGTGAGAAGCTCCATAGATATCTGTTAACCCTAGGCACACCCAACGTGAATTCTCACAACAAATGTTTAACAAAGCCGCAGCAAGCAGCCGGCCAGTGTTAAGACCTTTCAGCAGAAAGGAACTAAAAGAAAAACACAGCTGAAAAACAGCCGGATGCTCTCATCCCTTCGCTCTGGGAATGTTCCTGGTTCAAAATCCTGGTTTGTTAAAAAATATCTGGAATTTGGACAGAAGTAATGACCAGTAAAAGAAGTAAAGATGAGGGACGCGGTGGCTCCAGTGGCTAAGACGCTGAGCTTGTCGATCGAAAGGTCGGCAGTTCAGCGGTTCGAATCCCGAGTGCCGCGTAACGGGGTGAGCTCCCGTGACTATGTCCCAGCTTCTGCCAACCTAGCAGTTCAAAAGCACATAAAAAATGCAAGTAGAAAAATAGGGACCAACTTTGGTGGGAAGGGAACAGGGTTCTGTGCGCCTTTGGCGTTTAGTCATGCCGACCACATGACCAGGGGTGAAAATCACTTACCTTCCCTACCGGTTCGCAAATGTGAGTGCCCGCGCCTCCTCCACACATGCACAGAAGGCGCGCATTCGCAAAGGATCAAAAACGGGACATCTGGGTGAGTGGGCGGAGCCTCCTGCCGCTGGCGCTACCCGATCGCGTGATCCGGATAGATCCGGCTGAATTTCACCACTGCACATGACCATGGAGACATCTTGGGACACAGTTGGCTCTTCGGCTTTGAAACAGAGTTGAGCACCGCCTTCTAGAGTCATATGTACGACGGGAACATTTAATGACCAGTCAAAAGGACTGGGACAACTTGGGAGAAGCTTTCCCAGCCAGGTCAGATCCCGCAGATATAAAAGATTCAACTTTTTTTTTTGTATGTCGTGCAAGCACGTTTCACCCTTTCTCTAGAGGTAAAATTCTATTTCTGTACGGAATATATTTCACCTAATTTGAAAAAAAAGTCCTACTTAAAATTGCTCTAATGTGTGTTCTCCCTTCTGCTGAATATTGTTTCTTTTTTTTTTTACTCAGTGCATTAAACTCTTGAGATATTAACACCGTTTCAGTTAATTCAAATAATTCTACCATTATGTTCTTTTCAGATTTTTCTGCTCGGCTCACAATCCACATAATTTTATGGTACATATGGACAGCTGCTAAAATGAACATTTGCTGCCTTTTACTAAATAAGGACACTAATAATGGATGTTCAGGAAAAGTCTATGGTAGGGGTATCCACCCTCAGCAACTTTGAGATTTGTGGACTTCAACTTCCGCCAACCGATTTATTGCTAAACAGTGTATGCACAGAAATCTTCTTAAACTAACAGTCGGCACCTGCCTGGAATTTAGATAAGGGTCTATAGAATCCAAGGAAGGTTGCACTTAGTTTGCTTGTGGCTACGTAGGGATTCTAGGCTGATTCCTTTTTTGACTCCACCCCCAAGTTCTGCCACTCCTTCTCCTACACAGATAATGTTGTTGGCCTGCCACAGGAGATATCTCTAGGGCTGGGCTCCTGGGAGTTCCCAGGGGTTCGGGAGAACCTCTAGCTTAGATTCTGTGCAGTTCGGAGAACCCCCAAATCCCACTCCTGGCTGGCCCCACCCACCCCACCCTGCCCCTCCCAGGAGTCCCCATACAGCCCGTTTTGGATGCAGGTAAGTGCAGGGCGCATGTGGAGGCTTGGGGAGGGCAAAAAACGGGCCTACTGGAAGTTCGGGAAGGCCGGAAACAGGCCCATTTCTGGCCTCCAGAGGGCCTCTGGAGCCTGGGGAGGCCATTTTTGCCCTCCCAGAGGCTCAAGGAAAGCCTCCGGAGCCCAGAAAGGGCAAAAATGCCCTCCCCCCCATGGTACAGGAGGCTGACTAGGCCACGCTCACCATGGCCACGCCCACCAGCAACCGGGCAGAGAACCCCTTGCTAAAATTTTTGAAGCCCACCCCTGGATACCTCCCATCACAATGCCATGCCTGCCATCTTGAAAGATTCTTAACACAAACTCTGCGGTCTAGCATCATTTAAGCTTGCCCTGATCCAGGACTTTTAAAAAACCTATTTCAAAAATGGAACATATTGGGAAAAAAAACACAATTCGGGGTTCCCCATAATCAGGATGAAATAATTCAGACTATAGTGAAGAAAAAAAAAAAAGCACCTCGCACCTCAATCTTTTAACCATATTCAGCAAAAGGTGACATATTTTGTGAAGACCGGCTGCAGCTGAATCCTTCGTTCCACCTTGTTTAATCTACAGTAGTGGCCAAAATTGTGGAAACCTTTTGGGAAAAATATATTTTTGAGGTTTGATGGCTAATAACACCACTTTTTTTTTTGAAGTTTCAAGAGAATCCTATTCCACTGCTGGAATGGCTGGGAATAGCCCAGACCTTAACCCAATTGAAAATCTAGGGAGCCGACTAAAGAAACTGGTTAGTCAGAAGCGACCCAGCAATAAAACCCAGTTAATAGAAGCCATCATTCAATCTTGGTTTCACATTAGAACAGCTGCAGAACTCAAAGACTTGGTTCACTCCATGGGAAGACGTTGTAAGGCTGTAATTCATGCTAAAGGTTACCCAACTAAGTAGTAACCAGGGGTGAAATCCAGCAGGTTCTGGAGAACCGGTAGCGGAAATTTTGAATAGTTCGGAGAACTGGCAAATACCACCTCTGGCTGGCCCCAGAGTGGGGTGGGAATGGAGATTTTGCAATATCCTTCCCCCAGGAGAGGAGGGAATGGAGAGTTTGCAGTATCCTTCCCCTGGAGTGGGGTGGGAATGGAGATTTTGCAATATCCTTCCCCTGCCATGCCCACCAAGCCACGCCCAAAGAACCGATAGGGAAAAAATTTGGATTTCACCCCTGGTATTAACTGACACGGTGATCATTTTTGTATATCTCATTTTTTTTCTAAGGTGATTATTTTTGTAGATGTCATTTTTTTCTACCTGTTTCACTTTCCTTCTTTATACTTTGCTATTCTAATAGCAAATCCTTCATAAAAGTTATTGCATTACATTCTTTTAAGGCCGTAATTCATGCTAAGGGTTACCCAACTAAGTATTGACTAACATGGGGATCATTTTTGTATATCTCATTTTTTCTATGGTGATCATTTTTGTACATCTCATTTTTTTCTACGTGTTTCACTTTCCTTCTTTATACTTTGCTACTCTAATAGCAAATCCTTCATAAAAGTTATTGCATTACATCCTTGATTAAATTATCTTTCCATTGATATATAATTTTATGGTACTATTACTACTGCCCCAAAAAAGTAGTGTTATTAGCTAGTTTTAGAAAATACACTTTTCCCAAAAGGTTTCCACAATTTCGGCCACTACTGTATGCCAGTGTTTCCTCAACCTTGGCTGAGGAATTCTGGGAGTTGTAGTTCACCCATCTTCAAGCTGCCTCGGTTGACAAAAACACTGGTCTATGTGAAGGACTCAGCTACCCATTGAAAAAATAATAATAATTCTTTGTTAGAGGGGGTGGGATCCACGAGAACAGGGCATGGCACAGTTTGAAACTCTTCTCTCCTGACCAGCTCCCACTGCCTTCTTCCTCACATTAAGAGCCTTGGTAGTACAGTGGTCTAAAGCACCCTGTTATTAACACCAGCTGCCTGCAATTACTGCAGGTTCGAATCTCACCAGGCTCAAGGTTGACTCAGCCTTCCATCCTTTCTAAGGTAGGTAAATTGAGGACCCAGTAGTGGGGGCAATAAGCTGACTTTGTATAAATATACAAAAGAATGAAGGCTATTGCTTAATGCATTGTAAGTCTCCGGAGAAGGGCGGCATATAAATCAAATTAAAAAAAAAAATACCACCCTGAATTTAATAAGCATGGGGGAGGAGGAGGATGGCAAGGGTACTGCCAAAAAGGACGCACCCTGGATGAAAGATAAGGATGTGACCAGGATGGATTCGCGTGGAACTGTGCCATCATCACAGCAGCTGTGCACAATTATGGCTTGTGTAGAATATTAAAAAAAAAAACAAAAAACCTCTGTTAATAGTCACAGCATGTTGGGTGGATTATCTGCTAAATAATTAATGCCCCATATTATTGTCAGCAGGTGCTTCTGCAATTAACCTCTGGATATTTAATTGGTTAATTTCCGCCAAGATGAAGAACAGGCCATCCTTAAAACACCAACCCAATAGAGAAAAAGAAACATTCCAGCCAGCTGAACCAACCCGATCGTAAGAATAGTATCTGTTGAGTAAGAAATTTTGAAGGCAGAGACGGGTTTCGGTTCTAGATTCAGGAATCTTTGGTCCGTTCAGGTGGTGCCTGTGGAGCGCAGGTGTTTCTCGACTTGCGACCGTTCATTTAGGAACCGTTCAAAGTGGCAACGGCACCCAAAAAAGCGGTTTATGGCCATTTTTCACACTTATGACCACTACATTCCCTGTAGTGAATTTTGATCATGGGGTTCATCTGCTGCCATCATCCTGACGTTATTTAAACGTCATTTATTACATTATTTTAATGGCTCGTCGTCTTATAGTTTGTCTGTTGATCAACTTCTGTTACACTGGCTTGCTCTGGAAAGACTAAAAGCCACGATGAACGGGATGAAATGACACACATAAATAAACCATGAACCTCCTTTCAAGAGAATCCCTCACGCAGCTGCCTTGTCTGGCGGGGGATTTTCAGCGACAAGCCTCACAGCAAATGACAAGGCGAGGTTTGGCGGGATTTGAATACAAAACATTTAATATTTATTGGGTGGCAAGGTTTCTTCACTGAAGAAAAATCTGGCCTATGGGCAGTGGTGGGATTCAGCCGGTTCGAGCCGGTTCGGTAGTTAAATTGCTGGCTGGCCCCCCCCCGTTCCCACCCTGCCCCTTCCCAGAGTCTCCACGCGCGCCTTTCTGGCTCCCAGGTAATTGCAGGGAGGCCTCCTAGGCCCGAAACTGGGCACTGAGGGGCGGCACATCCGCCCGCGGCCCATTTTTGCTTCCAGGGAGTGCAGGAGGCCGAATGCTGCCTGCCACACCCCCTGGCCACGCCCACCAAGCATGCCCACAGAACTTTTAGTAAAAATTTTTGAATCCCACCATTGCCTATGGGTTAGAAAGCCTTACACCCAGTGGTGAAATTCAATATTTTTACTATCGGTTCTGTGGGAGTGGCTTGGTGGGCGTGGTGTGGCTTGGTGGGCGTGGCATGGGAAGGATACTGCAAAATCCCCATTCCCTTCCCACTCCTGGGGGAAGGATATTGCAAAATCTCCATTCCCACCCCACTCTGGGGCCAGCCAGAGGTGATATTTTCTGGTTCTCCAAACTACTCAAAATTTCCGCTACTGGTTCTCCAGAACCTGTCAGAACCTGCTGGATTTCACCCGTTTGCACCCCTAGAGCAGTGTTTCTCTAAAGCTGGCAATTTTAAGATATGTGGATTTCGCCACCACCCCCAGAATTCCCCAGCCAGACGTGTTATGTGGGGAATTCTGGAAGTTGAAGTCCACACATCTAAAAAGTCGCCAAGCTGGAAAAACACTGTGCTAGAGGTTGATTGCCATATAACAATTGAGAGCCAGTTAGGACGTGGGGGATAGAGACATCCAAGTTCTAAGTCAGCTTCAACCATTCTTGGGTGTGGAGAGTAAGGAAGATGGCATTGCAAAGAGATTTGAAGACACTTTAGCCTATTATCTTATGGTCACGTTCTTCTTTATATTCCTTTTTGTCAGACACGAGTCCGCATGTGAAGATCCAATTAAACTGATTTATTGCTACTCATGTCCCAGGCACAGGAATCTTCTCAACTAACAGTCAGTACCTGCTAAGAGCTAGGGTAAGGGCAGGGGTGAAATCCAGCAGGTTCTGACAGGTTCTGGAGAACCGGTAGCGGAAATTTTGAGTAGTTCGGAGAACCGGCAAATGCCACCTCTGGCTGGGCCCAGAGTGGGATGGGAATGGAGATTTTGCAGTATCCTTTCCCTGCCATGCCCACCAAGCCACGCCACACCCACCACGCCCACCAAGCCACGCCCACAGAACCAATAGTAAAAAAAATTGGATTTCACCACTGGGTAAAGGGTTAAGGGAATTCAAAGGAGGTTGGACTTAGTTCACTGGTGACTACATAAGGATTCTAGGCTGATCTCTCTTTTAACTCCGCCCCCAGTTTCTGCCACTCCTTTTCCTACATTTTTGAGGTAATGCTACACAACATATTGATAGAACTCTTGGGAATTTTTTTTTTTAAAAAGACATGTACATTGTATACATTGTATTAAATAATTACTTGGAATTTAATAAGTTCTGGACAAAGATGAGTTTTTCATGCTTTCAGAACCACAAAAATACTCTAATGTACACAGAACACACAAACATATCTATCTAAGACAGGGCTGTTAAACTTGCGACCCGCGGGCCGGATGCGTCACGCACTGGCCACGCCCACACCGGGTTTAGCGAAGGGGGGGAAGTCATGATACGTCACATGACAACGCCGTGATGACGTGAGTTTGACACTCCTGCTGTAAGATGATCTTGATGGAAATATGTGCCAAGAACCCCACTTAGATTAAGAAAGCATCTTTTTTTTTTTAATTAGATTTATATACCGCCCTACTCCTGAAGGACTCAGGGCGGTGAACAAGCACAAAATAAAATACATAAATACAAAAGTTAAAAGATATAATTAAAACCATATTAAATAATTTAGCCCAAGATAATTAAAAAATCCCAATAATTTAAAACAAATTAAAATTTCGATGTAAAAGAATTTTAGAATCTTTTAGAATCTTCATTATATGTTTATCAAATGCAATTGATATTATTTCAATGTAGCTATTTTTTGGGGGGGGGGGTTTCTCCCTTTTTGAAAAAGTGCAACAGATTATAAAAACATTATAAAAATAAGGCAATATTAGGGGTTTTATACACAATAAGAACATTACAACAAATGACAAATAACAATATTTCAATAACCAACTGATGGGTGAAGATTTAAATTTGGGAACTCACCTGATGCTCGTCTCGTGAACCGGTTAATCACTGGAGCTGAACAAAAGAAAACAAAGATTGTGTCAGTCAAGTAAAATATACACAAACATTTTTCTAAATTATGTGAATGCAGTTTTTAACCCATGGCAATTTTTTAATTTAATTTTATGTAGCTCAATGATCACAATCGATCTACATAAATGCCTGCTAAAATTTGAAATTCTGCCTGGGATGCAATTGTTAAAACTGTTTTCTTTGGGGGGGGGGGGAAATAACTTTATGAAATTCGAAGGGAATGAGAAACAACTAATAGTTAAGGGGGGGTTGGGCGAAACAGAAACTCAAATGTGAAAATCCACTTTGATGTTCACTTCTCTTTTATCTCTCCAAGCAACAGCTCCTGGTTTTCAAAACTCTCTTCCTTCACTGTATTTGAAAATGTCATTTCCCCTCACTTTTATCTGCGTAAGTTTTAATTGAAATGTAGAACAATCAGCTGTTTGCCTCCAACACAATCTGATGATCTCAAAAACCTGTCAGAAGATCGAAAAGCCACACATACAGGTAATCCTCGCCTTACGACCGCAATTCAGCCCAAAATTGACATTGCTAAGTGAGAAATTTGTTACATGAGCTTTGCCCCATTTTACGACCTTTCTTGCCACCGTTAAGTGAATCACTGCCTTTGTTAAATTAGTAACCCAGTTGTTAAGTGAATCTGGATTCGCCATGGACTTTGCTGGTCAGGACGCAAAGGGGGATCACGTTACTCTGGGATACTGCAATAGTCATAAGTACATGCCAGTTTCCAAGTGTTCTGAATTTTGACCACGTGACTGTGGGGATGCTGCAACGGTCGGAAGTGTGAACAACTTTTTTCAGTGCTGTTGTAACTTCGAACGGTCGCTAAGAGAAATTGTTGTAAGTCGAGGACTATCCGCACTGTGATAAAATGGCTATTCTGACTTTCCTCAAGGTCTGTGGGTGACACAGATAGCTGAAAAAATCCTTGCAATATTCAGTTAGGGCAAAGCAGACCGATTTCCTGTGGAAGAATGGAAATAACCAGACAAGGACCATTTGCAGAAATTCAACTAAAAACAAAAATCCTACAAATTTCTTCATGTTTTCTAGTCTTGACCCAAATCAAGCGTGTGTGTCTCTTCAGGTGTGAAGAATCCGATCTGAAAGGAGGGTGGAAGCAGAGAGGACATCTGTATGTGCCTTTTGAAAGAGCTGTTTGCACGCGACTTTGTGTGTGTTAAGAAAAAGACATGGAAGCATGGATTTCTGGTCCTGGAATTTGCCTCAAAGAGTTCAGAACTCAACTTGGACCAGGGGTTCCAAAAAGCAGATCTCCTGGGCCATGAATCTAGGATCCTTAAACAGATCCTTAAACAGAGGGATAGAATCAAGATCACATGAAGTGTTAATACAACTTTATAATGTCCTGGTAAGGCCACACTTGGAATCCTGCATCCAGTTTTGGTCGCCACGATGTAAAAAAAGATGTGGAGACTCTAGAAAGAGTGCAGAGAAGAGTAACAAAGATGATGGGGGAACTGGAGGCTAAAACATATGAAGAATGGTTGCAGGAACTGGATATGTCTAGTTTAATGAAAAGAAGGACCAGGGGAGACATGATAGCAGTCTTCCAATATCTCAGGGGCTGCCCCAAAGAAGAGGGAGTCAAGCTATTCTCCAACGCATCTGAAGGAAGGACAAGAAGCAATGGGTGGAAACTCATCAAGGAGAGAAGCAACTTAGAACTAAAGAAATTTCCTGACAGTGAGAACAATTAACCAGTGGAACAACTTGCCTCCAGAAGTTGTAGATGCTCCAACACTGGAAGTTTTTAAGAAGAGATTGGATAACCATTTGTCTGAAGGTGGTGTAAGGTTTCCTGCCTAAGCAGGGGGTTGGACTAGAAGACCTCCAAGGCCCCTTCCAACTCTGTTATTCTATTCTAGATGCTTGTCTTACAACTGACCATGGAATACGGTTCTGTGGAACAGAAAAAGTGAGAAGGTCCAGCTTTGAGTTTCTACAGCCTAATCTCTGCTCCCTCTTGAAAGTCACAGACATTATTATTATTATTATTATTATTTATTGAATTTCTATACCGCCCTACTCCCGAAGGACTCAGGGCGGTGCACAGCCATGAAATAAAACACATAAATATACAAAATTTAAAATCGAATAAAATGAATTAAATAAATTTGGCTGAATTAATACCCAATTTAAAATACCCATATTTTAAAATCCATTAAAAATTTAGAATTTACACTTAAAAGAGAGAAGATTTAGGCGAGGCCAGCTTGATGAAACAAAAGCGTCTTCAACTCGCGGCGGAAGGTGCGCAGATCCGGAATCCTCCGTATCTCTGGGGGAGCTCATTCCAGATCGTCGATGCCCCCACAGAGAAGGCTCTCCCCCTAGGGGCCGACAGCCGACATTGTTTGGCCGACGGCACCTGGAGGAGCCCCTCTCTGTGGGAGCGTACTGGTCGGTGGGAGGCTGTTGATGGTAGTAGGCGGTCCCGTAAGTAACCAGGTCCCAAGCCATGGAGCGCTTTAAAGGTGGTAACCAGAACCTTGAAGCGCACCCGGAAGACCACCGGGAGCCAGTGCAGCTTGCGCAGGAGAGGTGTTACATGGGAGCTCCATGTTGCTCCCATAACCACCCGCGCGGCCGCACTCTGCGCCAGTTGGAGCCTCCGGGTGCACCTCAAGGGGAGCCCCATGTAGAGAGCATTACAATAGTCCAGACGAGAGGTGACGAGGGCATGAGTGACTGTGCGTAACGAGTCCCGATCTAGAAAGGGACGCAACTGGCGAATCAGGCGAACCTGATGAAAAATCCTCCCGGTCACGGCCGTCAAGTGCTCTTCTAAAGACAGCCGTGAGTCCAGGAGGACGCCCAAGTTACGAGCCCTTTCCGTGGGGGCCAATGATTCGCCCCCAATAGCCAGCGATGGCGCCAGCTGACTATATCGGGACGTCGGAAACTACAGCCACTCGGTCTTGGATGGGTTGAGCCTGAGCCCGTTTCTCCCCATCCAGATCCGCACGGCCTCCAGGCACTGGGACATCACTTCAAGGGCATCGTTGGGGTGGTCCGGGGTGGAGATGTACAGCTGAGTGTCGTCAGCGTACAGATGGTACTTCACCCCGAAACCACGGATGATCTCGCCCAGCGGCTTTACATAAATGTTAAACAGAAGGGGCGAGAGAACCGATCCCTGCGGCACCCCACATATAAGGGGCCTCGGGGTCGATCTCTGCCCCCCTGTCAACACAGACTGCGACCGGTCAGAGAGAAAGGAGGAGAACCACCGTAAAACGGTGCCTCCCACCCCCAACCCTTCCAGCCGGTGCAGCATGATACCATGGTCGATGGTATCAAAAGCCGCTGAGAGGTCTAACAGGACCAGGACAGAGGAACAACCCCTGTCCCGAGCCCTCCAGAGATCATCAACCAACGCGACCAATGCCGTTTCCGTGCTGTACCCAGGCCTGAAGCCCGACTGGAACGGATCTAGATATGACGCTTCATCCAGGTACTGGGGTAGCTGTCGCGCAACCACACTCTCAACAACCTTCGCAACGAAGCAAAGGTTGGAGACTGGACGATAATTAGCCAATACTGCCGGGTCCAGGGAAGGCTTCTTGAGGAGAGGCCTCACCACCGCCTCTTTCAAGGCGGCGGGAAAGACACCCTCACCCAACGAAGCATTTATAATCCCCTGGAGCCAGCCTCGCGTCACCTCCCGGGAAGCCAGCACTAACCAGGAGGGACACGGGTCCAACAAACATGTGGTCGCGTTCAATCTACCCAGAATCCTGTCCACGTCATCTGGGGTCACAGGATCAAACTCATCCCAGATAACAGTCTCAAGACCTGTCTCTGTCACCCTCGCTGGATCTATCCCGTCAGAGTCCAGACCTGCCCGAATCTGAGTGATTTTGTCATACAGATATTGAACAAAATCCTTGGCTCTCCCCTCCAAGGGGTCCTCCCGCGCTTCCTGGTGGAGCAGGGAGCGGGTCACCCTAAACAGGGTGGCCGGGCGATTATCTGATGACGCAATAAGAGCAGTAAAATGAGTACATTTTGCTGCTTTTATCGCCACTAGGTAACTCCTAATATAAGATCTTACCAGTGTTCGGTCAGATTCAGAAAGACTAGCCCTCCAACAGCTCTCTAGGCGTCTTTTCCGGCGCTTCATCTCCCTCAGCTCCTCGGTGAACCAAGGAGCCAGGCGAGATCGGCGCCGGGTCAGAGGCCGCAAAGGCACGACTCGATCCAGGGCTCCAGCAGCCGCCCTATCCCAGGCGGCCACTAGGTCCCCAGATGAGGCGTGAGCCAGAACCTCCGGGATTGGCCCAAGCTCCATCTGGAACCTATCAGGTTCCATCAGGCGCCTGGGGCGGTACCATCTTACCGGTTCCGCCTCCCTGTGGTGGGGTGCTGCGGTTCGAAGGTCAAGGCGAAGGAGCGAGTGATCTGACCATGTCAAGGGCTCGATGACTATATCCCCTATCTCGAGATCACTCAACCACTGTCCAGAGACAAAAACCAAGTCCAGTGTGTTTCCCCCAGTGTGCGTAGGGCCATGAATTAGTTGGGTCAGGTCCATGGCCGTCATGGAAGCCATGAACTCCCGAGCCACCTCAGATGCCTCACCCACGGATGGCAGGTTGAAATCCCCCATGACCATAAGTCTGGGGGTATCAACCGCCACCGCGGCAATAGCGTTGAGTAGCTAGGGCAGAGCTGCCGCCATGTGGCAGGGAGCCAGGTACGTGATCAGCAAACCCATCTGAACCCCATGGCCCCACTTCACAAGGAGGGACTCACAACCAGCTGTCTGAGGTACAGTGGTCTCCCTCGGCCTAAGGCCTTCTCTAATAATAACCGCTACTCCCCCACCCCTCCCCTGTGACCTTGGCTGATGGAATGCGTGGAAACCTGGTGGGCACATTTCTACCAGAGGGACCCCTCCCTCTGGGCCCAACCAGGTCTCCGTAATACCCGCCAGGTCCGCTCCCCCCTCG